AACATTTCATTCCATGCCCCACTTATAATGAAATGCAGCTTGATGAAATGCGTCCATGGAGAAAAAAGGAGAGCTTGTAGCAGAGTTCTACAAGAGTGATAGGGTATTTAAGTAGATTATTTTGTGGATAAAAAGCGAAGTAAATTAAAGACAACATTAAATGGTTTGGATCACTGGGTGACAAACCATGAGGAGTATCCCCTGCATGTAATTTTAAGATGTGTATAGAACATATTTTGTCAGTCCCAAAAATAGTCTTAAATTATAGCAAAAAGCCATTTCATGTAATAAATTGCAATGTTTTATTTTTTTAAAAATTATCAGTTTCTTCAAGAATTAACTATTATAACAAATACAATTCAAAAAAATAAACTGAATATTAAATCTACAACATAAGTACAAAGGATAATTAACAGAGTTAACTGAGAATACTTTCCATAACACCCCTCATTTTGTGAACGAACACTAACATTTTTTTTTAACATTAGTTTCTCCTATTCTAAAATCTGGTGATTTAAGCATAAAAGTGTTTTAAGTCAAACAGATCATACAACCCCCCACAAATCTGAACGATATTGGATTTGATTCAGGAAAACCCAGAGGAAGCAGTATTTATTACATTTCTATATATGTGTAAGTGTAGTCTTGCAAGATCTTTCTAGAAAAGAAAGCTAAGATAAATGTAACCCGACCTACCCTAAAATGAATTAGTTCAAGACTTACATGTATCTTCTTTGACTTGAAGACTTGTAGAGACAGAACTATCCTGGTTCAACTGCTATGGTTACAATTGCTATGGTGTGTACACAATTATAAATGGATAGCATGGAAGTTTTAGTCATGTTTTGTTTTATAAAAATACATTCCTTATTTACTTGAATAATGTAATATGAGTTTGGGAAAAAATAGTTCTTGCATTCTAAGTTGCAGAAATAACTTCACACACAGCTAACCCTAACACAGAACAATTTAGTGACTGAGCAGCATATGATTATTCGGCATGTGAGCAGATCAAACTATTCACTTTACAAATTTTATAAGATATGTTCCTACAGCATGGGCAATACAAAACATTATTGTGTCTAAAGTTAAAACCACCTGTGTTTAATTTAACAGGATGTTAACTGGATCACAAGTGAAAATACAGAAGAGGCACAGACCATGCTTATCTAAAAGTTACTGGGGACAAAAGCCCTATGTTGAATTCAGGAAGAAAACTGTACTGATCTGTGTTGCAGTATGTTACACTGTATATAAACAATATACAAATGTACTACTTTCCAGGCCACCTGATAGATTTTGCTGCTCTGAAAGAGTCAGACAATCTGACATAAAAACTATTTTTGAAGAACTATAAAATACGTATACAAAAGAACAATCTTATCTGGGTAGTGGGACTAACATTCTTCTGTATTAGAACTTCTCCAGTCTTGTTTCACCTACTCCAGTGTTTTTCCTCTTCGCTAATCTTGGCTTCAGTAAAGGTGTTCTAGAAACTCCAATGTCTGAATCACCCTTCACTTTAAAGAAATAAGACGAATTAAGCAGTGTCTGAACATATTTCACCTCATCTGATTTTCGAGATTGAGTAAACACATCATTTCCTCTTTCATCATCAAGAGCTAGACTGGCAGGATGATTTTGTATAAGACACATAGGCTCCAACATGTGTTTGGAGGATACATGAGCACCATCACCTGCACCCTCCAGGGAACAGGATGCTCTTCCTGTATTTCCTGCACTTGATCTAGTTCTGTAAGGCAAACTGAGGTCCAGTGGTTTTTCACAGCAATCTGCAAATCTCTCTCTGATTAGTAAAGAGGAAGTAAGAGCTGGACAGCTGAAAAAGTCTTCTGTCTGAATTGCACACTCTCGCATAGCTGAATTTCTCTCTCCTCCCCTACTCGGTGTCAAACTGAACTGAGAAATCTGAGAGTGTTCATCACAAGTTTCTCTGTTTGAAGATGCCTGAGAAAACTGCGAAGCATCAATATAGTTTCCTTTTTTGCCACTTCTCTCTACACTTGTTTCTTTAGCATGGTTTTGAGCATAAACTGATAAGAAGTTACTGTTACTATTGGGAATCTGTACTGGCAAAAAAGACTTCTGAGTTATAAAAAGCTCTTGACTCTGATCAACATTGTTGCATACTGCTTCAGTTTTTGAGGTCATGAGAGAAGCTCCCTTGTCCCTTAGGCTTCCCACATTGAATTCATCTTCTGAGTCATAAATTTTAATCTCCAGAGCTGCTGGACTAGAGGACAAAAGAGGCTCTATACTGCTAGTACAGTTGTTTATGTCAGTGGCATTGGCTCCTAGTAAACAACAAACTGGCACTTCCTTATTCAATTTCCTTTGTTTTTTAAAACCCGCTATGATTCCACCAGTTAAACTGTGTACAACAGAATCAAGACCTACATGTTTGCAAGGTGTCCAAGAACTCTCCCTATGACTTAATTCCTTGTGTTCACCTTTTTCAGTTACAAAGGAAACTTGTGCTGAAGGAAGGCAGAGCTGCTTTTGATTGACTTGAATATTATTACCTTTATGTACCATTTTAGAGTTTTTAATACGTTTGCAATTTCTCTCTCCAAAGTTCTCCTGATTGCCACTAAAAGCACTGGTATCCTGAAGAAGCTTTATTTTCTTTGCTTTTTTTTTAACTGAAATCCAAGGGAGAGTAGTAGCGTCTTGCTTCTTGCAGAAGTTTCTTTTTGTACAGTCCAATTGATTTTGTGTTTCAGTATTATGCTTGATCTTCTTAAGAAGTTTACTCTTTGTAATATCACTTTCTTTGGTAGTGTTTTCTTCATATGTGCCCATATTTTCCTTTCCTTTACAGAGATCAGGCTTATTTTTCTTTTGTTTCTCCTGTGTCTTCCACTCCTTTCCAGACTTTTTAGATTTGCTTTTCACTTTGTCACAGCCTTTTTGGGGGGTTTCAATGTAATCAAGATAGCTTCCAAACTCATATAAAAGCTTAATTTCTTCATCTGGCTCTAAGTCATTGAGCTTATAAAGAAGAAATAAACAATGAGATTAAACAGATAAATAATAAATGTAAAATTAATTATGCATATTTATTTCCCGAAATGTTACGGCAATACACACACTAACTGTTCCCTTATCCCATGTCACATCATGAGTGGAAGAAGGACTAAAAATTCATGAGAAAAGCCTGAAAATTCACATACAGCTGTGTGATTTGCTGTTCCACATCTGCGGACAGGATAAATTTATTTTCATATGTTTTCTGGTGCTTATGTATATAGTATTAAATACAAAGAAATTACATCCATATAGTGTGAAGGCTGCACTGGTAAAAAAGTTAAGCTATCTAGAGGACTCAACTTGCTCACATTGAACACCTTGAGACAGTTGTTTGTGGCAGTAGTTTGAGAGACATAGGCCACATCCAGACAATCATGGCCACATTCAGGCATTCCCCACACTGCTATCTTGCAGCACAGAGGGATTTTTTGACCCTGAGTGATCCCAGGGTAAAAAAAACCCATGCAGAAAGAAAGTGGTGTGGCACGTACGGTGGCAGCTCCAAAACTGGAGCCTGGCCGGCCAGAGCCACACTCCAGCTGCTGGCCAGGCTCCTGGCTGCAGAAGTGGTCCCCTGGCCCCCAGAACCCCAGGTAAGACTGCTGAGGTCAGCACAGTTAGGGGTATGTCACTATGTAGGCAAATTGCATACAAAACATGATATTAAAAAGCATTATTGAGTTTTAAAAAATGAAGCAAGTTAAGATATTCCAGAATAAAGTTGCTTGAGCAACCTTATTTCAACCCTTTGTGTGCATGCATTATGATATAGTTTATATTTATGTTGATATCCACTATTTTTTCTTGGGGAAACCTGCTTCATTCAGTTTGCAGAATGGACAGTGATTACTTAAGCAATTACTTATTTTATTTACTTCTTGTTTTCCAATATATGGCCATACCTAATTTACTGTACCATGTTTAAACCTGGTCTGAAGACAGAATTATTTTTCTTCATGGTATTTTCCCTAGAGCTTATTCATATTGTATCTGTGTGTTGCACAAATATTAGCAATATTATTGGGTGATGAGGAAAGACCTTTATTGTCCCTATTTTACAGATGGGGAACTGAGACACAGAGCTTTAGGTCAACAGTACACTCTCATTTTGGGTGCCCAATTTGGGACGCATTGAATGCAATTCATCCAAGTATCTGGCATAGCATTGTACTTTATATGTTAAAAATATACCTCCCACAGATTTCAGCGATTCATTTTTTAGTACTCAGTGGCCCTCCAAATCAGACCTTGGGATTTCAGGTTCAGGACCCAGGAAATGAGAAAACATTCAATTGGTAACCACCTGTGAAAAATGTGGTTTAATTACTTGACTAGCATCACACTGAACTCTGTGGCACAGACAAAGAACGATTCCAATTTTCCAGAGCAACTTTCAATTGTTGTTATCATTATAGCTCACTTTTTCTTACTGCAATCCCCTTCTTCATTCACTACGCACCTTCCAGAGACTGCAACAAATAAAGGGTCATGCAGTCAAAATTCTCCTTCACTGCACAACCTCATTTGTCTCCTGCCTGTGTCCATGCACTGAACAAAGCAATGGCCCAATGAAGAAAATCAGTATGTGATCACTTAAATAAAAATGATGGTCTTAATGGATATGTGCAAGGGGAGTGAAAAAATGTTGAAAACAACCTTAGCTTTTGTTTTTCCTAACTGTAGAATACTTCTTGATCTTAATGTTATTTTAACAGGACTTTTGTATAGGTTTCCTAGGTTTCCAAGGAAATTCCATCCTAAGGCAGCAAAATGATTCTAATATGAGCATCTTCAGGGTTGGAAGCTTTAGAGCCAGCAGACCAACTTCAGCAATTTCCACTAATAGAGTAACTGGAAGCAATATCAGATTATTATCCTCTAGGTAGACCAGAACTAGAGAGATAAAATCCTTTTCCCAAGGGTTCCACATTTTTACAAGAACAAAACCAGCCTATTTGCTCTAAGAGAACCCTAGCATCAGTCATGTTCATTTCTTATTTACAAAGCCAAGTCACAGGAAGGTGATAAAAAGGGTTTTTTTTCTTTCAATACCTCTGCATCATTGGGGAACTGACCATTTGGGGGTAGAGGAATAGACTCCTGCTAACACTAAACGTTACCAGAAAGTTATATTTCTCTGAAATCTCGTTGCTTAATTAATCCTCATTATCACATCATAATTTTCTTTTCATTTTCAGTTTGAACTCAGTTGAGACATCACTAAATTGCTAAAAACTGTATTAAATTAATTGTAAGATTCAAGTACTGCATCTATTTTGACTTTATGGAAATGCATCACTCTCACAGGATAATAATCTTTGTTTTTGACTACAGCAATAACTACTCTAGAAAGGCTGCCAAAAAAACACAGTGTTTTTGAGCTGTGGATGAACCTTATTAACCTTTTTATTCCTGAAATATTTTGCATCAAAGTGATGCTGTTTGGAAACAGGCTGCCACCCTCCCCATAAATAATAAAGAGGAGAGTGGGAACTTGAGCATGACTCGGGAAAGGCAAAAAACAGGGTCAGTTTAAGCAGGAACCTGTGAGAAATTGGCCTGCTTTCTGGGGCGAATCTGGGAAAAGCGAGAGTGGAAAGAGCGGCAGCAATAAAATGGATAAGACTGAACAGATCAGGGACAACAGCTAACTTTCTAGCTTGAAATGTGCCCCCCAGAGAGGCTGAGGCCTTTCATTCTCCTGAGCATTCAACAATCAGCTAATAGACAAAAGAAACAAAAGCCAACTAGATAAATTTAATTTATACCAATCTTAGTTGGTGTTTCTTGTGTTTCATGTGCATATATGAAGGATCTGTCTGAAGTTATGTAGGGCAGTGGTACCCAACCTTTCTAGCCACGTGACAAATGATGGTGCAGAGCCTAGTCCGCAGGCTGGAACTAGTGCATAGAATCATAGAAAAGTATGGTTTGAAGGGACCACAGGAGGTTACCTAGTCCAACCGCCTGCTCAGAGCAGGAATATCCCCAACTAGATCATCCCAGCCAAGGCTTTATACAGCGGGTCTTAAAAACGTCCACGGATAGAGATTCCACAACTTCTCTGGGGAGCCTGTAAGCCTGTTCCAGCGCTTCACTACCCTCCTAGTGAGAAAGTGTTTTCCTAATACCTAACCTAAACTTCCCTTGCTGCAACTTGAGATCATTGCTCCTTATTCTGTCATTTTCCACCACTGAGAACAGTCTAGCTCCATCCTCTTTTGAACCCCCTTCAGGTAGTTGAAGTCTACTGTTAAATCCCCTCTCAGTCTTCTCTTCTCCAGACTAAACAAGCCCAGCTCCCTCAGCTTGTCCTCATTGATCATGTGCCCCAGCCCCCAAACCATTTTTACTGCCTTTCACTGGACTCTCTCCGATTTGTCCACATCCAGGCTGTAGTGAAGGGCCCAAAACTGGACACAGTATTCCAGATGTGGTCTCACCAGTGCCAAACAGAGGGAATAATCACTTCTCTCGATCTGCTAGCAACGCTCCTACTAATGCAGGCTAGTACACCATCTTCGCAACAAGGACATACTGCTGGCTCATATTCAGTTTATTGTCCGCTGTAACCCCCAGGTCATTTTTTGCAGAGCTGCTGCCCAGCCAGTCAGCCCCCAGCCTGTATTGGTGCATGAGATTGTTCCGTCCTAAGTGCAGGACTTTGTACTCAATCTTATTGAACCTCTTGAGATTTCTTGTGATCCTATCGTCCAATTTGTCTATGTCTCTGAATCGTAGCCATACCCCACCAGTGTAACTACTACTCCTCCCAGTTTGATGTAATCTGCAAACTTGCTGAGGGTGCAGTCCATCCCATCTTCCAGGTCACTAATGAAGACAGTGAACAAAATCAGCCTCAGGACTGACCTCTGGGGCACACCAATTGATACTGGCTGCCAGCTAGACATCGAGCCATCAGTTATTACCCTTTGAGCCCAAAGCTCCAGCCAGTTTTCTATCCACCTTATAGTCCATTCGTCCAACCTATACTTCCTTAGCTTGCTTGGAAGATGTTGTGGGAGACTGTATCAAAAGCCTTGCTAAAGTCAAGGTATATCACATCCACTGCTTTCCCCAAATCCACAGAGCCAGTCATCTCATCATAGAAAGCAATCAGGTTGGTCAGTCATGACTTGCCCTTGATGAATCCATGCTGACTCTTCCTAATCACCTTCTCCTCCAAGTGCTTAGAAATGGATTCCTTGAGGACCTGCTCCATGTTTCTAGGGACTAAGGTAAGGTTGACCACTCTGTAGTTCCCTGGATCCTCTTCCTTCCCTTTCTTAAAGATGGACACTATATATGCCATTTTCCCAAACATCTGGGATCTCTTCTGACCACAATGAGTATTCAGGGCCAGTGGCTCTGCAATCACATCTGCCAACTCCCTCAGCACCCTCGGGTGCATCCTATCCAGCCCCATGGACTTGTACACATCCACCTTGTCTAAATAATTCCTAACCTATTCTTTTACTACCATCAGCTGCTTACCTCCTCCCCAAACTGTACTGCATAGGGAGAGTGTGATGACATGCCCACCTGCACATGCCAGCCCAATACCACGTACAGCCCAGTCTTGTGTGCTGGATTGGGTCATTCACCAATCCCACCCAACACACCAGGTCCAGCCATGCACTGACCTGACCCTACATGCTAGATCCAGCTGTGTACTGACCCAAGTCCACATGCCATATCTGGCTGCACACCAACCCATCCCTGACTGCAAGATGCAACCATGTACTAACCCAATACTGCACACTGTATTCAGCTCCATGCCAGCTATCCCACGCAGGGCTGTGACATCCAGCCCTCAGGGCTCCCCACAGGTCTGGAAAATTGGCAGCAGAGTAGCTCCACTTACCATTGCTGCCACTCCCTTATTACCAAAATTTCAGACCTGTGGGAAGACATATAGGCCAGAGGACATGCCTCACAGGCTGGAGGTTGAACACCCCTGTCCTAGGGGTTGGCAATTACTTCACTTGAGAAATCTTCACATAGGTTTGTTTTTTTAACTCAAGGAAGCACACTGGGTTCAGTAGCATATATATGATTCTCCTGCGCATGTAGCAGTAAGCCTCAAAATAACAAAAATGTGACAGAGGCCATGATCTTTCCTATTCCCAAGGTGTACCACTCAAGTCCCTTGAAAACTACATATGCAAAAGAATATTGGGAGGGTTGTGGGGAGCCACTTGAGCAAAGACAGGCAACACAGATCCACCCTTTCTGAAAAATTTCAAAACAACTGTAGGAGTCCTGGCATCCCTCTAGTCTAGTGGTTTTCAACCTGAGGTTCACAGACCCCTGGGGGTCCACAGACTATTTCTAAGGGGTCCACAGATAATGACTATGATCAATCAAAAGTATGTGAATACCCACACTTATAAGTCAAAGGGGGACCAATTTGAAATTTCCAGAGGGGTTCACACCTTGATTTGAAATTTTTGGGGTCCACAAATGAAAAAAGGTTGAAAACTACTGCTCCAATCTAAAGAAGAACCCTATGCACTTAAGGAGCAAAAAGGGATGTTAGCACACCAAACCTCACTTTTGTTCTTCAAAATCTATGGTCAATGGGGTCTCCCCTTCATCAGAAGCCCTTCACGGCAATCCAAAATGAAATCTTTTGTTAGGAGTTCTCTCTACCCAGATCAGAAAAAAATCAGGAAACATACTTGCATTTAATGTGCCAGGAGTGCGTATGAATCTAACTTTCAATATTCCCTGTCAAGGGCAGGGAATAGCAAGAAGAGCAACTAATACAGCAACTAACTAGCAGCTGGGGTTTATCTAGGGCTGGCTATTTCAAACACATTTCAAGGTCAGTTCTGTCTCCCCAGTCCTCAAAGTAAAATGCTAAAACACACCTGCTCTCCAGAAGCGTCTTCCTGCAATGCTGATGTAGAAAAGCAAGGGCAGCACTTGTTCTTCTTCTTTTTCGTTTTACCCTTGGAAGCCATTTCCAAGTGTATTCTAAATATTTAGCAAAAAATAAATCACTTTACAGAGTTACTTGAGGTTAACGTTTAGATAAACAAATACGCCTTTTACTACAAGCAGTGCTCAAAAAGGCTCACACCTTTTAGTACCTCCTCATTTCACGTGTAGTTCGACAAAAGGCCCGCTAATTCCAAGGGGTTATTTTGTGCAAGTGAGGACTGCAGGACAGGAGATTTACATTAGGGGTTGAATTAAAGATGCAAATTGGGGACTGAGCCGGCTTGATTAGGCACGGGCAGGGGCTGACAGCCTAAGTTTGACCCCAGTTTGATTCACTGGAGTTAAGGACAACTGTGGTGATCCAAACCAGTGGGCATTAAACGCCACATATAGGTGAGGTAAAACCCAGGATGCAGTTGAAGAGGAGTCTGTTGCCCTTTGCCTTTTCTGCTCCCAGGGAGGTTCCCTCCGGCTCCAGTCTGCTGGCAGCTGGCCCGGCGGGGCGGTGGGTATCCCAGCCCCAGCACTTTCCCCACCGGTTACCACCATAGGCAAGAGCTGAGGGTGGTCCAGCAAAGGCGCCTCAGAGGCGGGGCTCCATGCCGGACCGGGACCAAGACAAAGGTGCGGCTGGGGCGGGGGGGTGAGAGATCCTTTGGGGCTGGGCGCGTTGCCTGAGCCCTTGTGCCTGCTGCTGGCGCAGCGCGGAGGGCGCAGCCAGGACCCACCTGGGCGCGGGCGGCCCAGAGCAGCTCCTGAGAGGGGGGGGCTGCAAGGAAGCGCTCAGGGATGCCCCGAGGGAGCAGCGCGGACCCCGACCCCGCCTGCCCTTGCCCCCGCCTGCCCTTGCCCCTACCGGGCGGGCGCTGCTCCCTCGCGGCTGCCGCCTCCACGCGGTCGCGGGTTTGAAAGGCGCCAAGGCGGGCGGCCGGCGGGCGCGCGGCGGGATGTGAGCGGCGGGGCTGCGCCTCTAGTTCTTGCTGCCTGTGCCCTGCTGGGGGGAGCCTCGCAGCCGTCCTACTTCAGCGACCTGCGCCTCCTTCTCCCCCTGGGCGCCTGAGTTAGCTCCTGGCTGCTCCCCCGCCGCCTCCACGCGGTGCCAGCAGCAGGTGAAGGGCTCAGGCACCCCGGCAGAGCAGCGCCATTGCCCCCGGCGGGGTCCCCCGTGGGACAAGTTGGGTAGGATCGTCTCTTGCGGGTGCGTGTGTATGCTGCGGTCAAAAATGGAGAGTTTGTTTGTTTGTTTGTTTCGTATTTTCCGTATCTCAAGCCAAATCAGTCAAAACAAGTTCCAAATCCAAGTCGGTCCAGAACCGTAAGTGGCCCCGCTATCAGCAAACATCCTCCACCCCAATCTGGGGCTTCAAATGTTCCCAGATCCTTCACCAGGCATCCTACTTGCAGGCCCAAGCTTGAAGGCTCGGGGTTCGGGTGCCCCCGAGTTTTGCTTGCCCTCAGCCATACGGCCACAAGAGCAAGCTAGGGAAGAGCCTCTCTCATTTCCATAAAGTGGGCTTTAAGCCCCAACTCCTCGGCAGGTACTAAATGATGCCAGAAGAACAGTTATCCCCAGGAACGCTTAAGGAGAATTGCCTTCATGGACCCAGATACATGGGGTTAACTACACATTACCTATGTGGGTACTATCCCATGCCTTCCCTGGGTGCGACTAGGAAACCACGGTGGTGATCATGGTATTTCCTCTGCCAGGCAAGCGTAGGACTATACTTGATGTGAGCCCACAAGAGGCCAAAAATGTAGTTGGTCTAATAAAAGATATCACATCTACCCAAGGAACTTTGCCTACTTATGTCCTTAGACCAACAGGGCTACAACCAACAACCCTGGTCCAGGCAAAGGTATTATTAGCAAACACATCCTGCCTCTCCAGTGCTCCTAAAGTCAAGGGAGAGTTTTGCCAGGATCTTTACAACCATAGACCAGCAGGTATCTTTGCTTCCTCTCATTGCACCAACCAAAGTGGAATTTCTCCCCTCCAGTTTGCATAAGTTATTTCCATGAAGGCATTTGTGTCCTTTCCATAAGTTCATCAAGAGGTCAGCCTGTTTTGTTTTGACTTCTGGCACAAGCCACCCAGGGTGTACTGAAGTACATGCTATTGGGAAAAGAAGGCAGTGGACTGACAAGATGACACAGTGTTAATAAAGAAACCTGCAGGCCTGCAAATGCTCATCAAGATTTCTATCTCCCGCTAATATTTATAATGTCGCTCCTAACCCCTTCAGGAGCTTACAGACAGGATCAATATAAAATTATCCTCATCAGCCAATATCAGAAAGTTCATGTTGTAAAGCCAAAACAAAAGAATAATCTTAACAAATCGAAAGGCCTTCAGCATTTTGATGAATCCTAGGCTGCTGATTAGCAAATTGTGAAGTCTTGATTAATAATTAAAAGCTTATCAAAACTGGAGTGAGGCCTAAACTTGAAATACTACAATGAGTATTTTTACTTGTGAAGTTTAGCTGTTTCTTTCATTAGTAGTGCAAGCTTAGCATATATGTTTTACACATGCCTCCTTTTGGCTTTAAATTGAGGAGGGACAGTAGTTTCTCTGTAGTGAAAGCTGCAACCATATTTCCATTTAGAGATTAATTTTGCCTAGCACAATGATTGTTTGAATGATTGTTCTAACTCATTAGAAAGGCATTTTTTTGTCTAAAAGTTTGCATATCATATTTCAGTCACTGGAGAATTTTTATGGAACATTGAGTGAAGGCAGGGAAGCCATTTTTGCAGATACACATTTTAGAAAAAAATCTCTAATTATTCCACGCTTTTTAATTATACCCTGTTTTGATTTAAACTCTTGGGTCTCAGCTGCCTAGAGAAAACATTCTGTAAGCAGTTAAAGAGTGAAAATCCTTTGGAAATAATATCCTTTTCTAAATAATTTACTCTTGGGTTTTATCCCCTTATTGGTCTATTTCATGTTTGGAAATTTGGTAATCAGCAACCTAGGAAGCTGAGTAGGGTTGCCAGCCCTCCAGGATTGGCCTGGAGTCTCCAGGAATGAGATATAAATCTCCAGGAGACTGCTGAGAGTCACTGGGGAGATAAATGATAGGGCATTAATTAAAATAAATATTAAATGTTGAATCCAATTTATACAGTAGTCCAGTGGATTTTTTAAATGTAATAGTCATGTGCATTTGCCTTCCAGACATGAAGTCTATGCACCGTAATTACTGTCATTACATCATGTGATGAACCTCCCAGAATAGATTCAAACAGTTGGCAACCCTAAAGCTGAGACCTAAGCAAAGAAATTCAGTTAAATATCTTCAGAAATGCAGAATTACAGGTGGGGAATGAGTCTTATCCATTCTTTATTTTGTGTATTTTCTTCTACTCATTTTTGGACATACAATTGAATAAAGACATGGCTTTAAAATGTCATATTTTCTTGACAGGGTGGTGGAATGGGTCCTGCAGTTACGCTGCTGGCCTGGGACTTGGGAGAGCTTGTTACTTTTCCTGTACTGCTACAGACCTCCTGTGTGATTTTGGGAAAGTCACTCTAGGCTAGATTCATAGCAGACTTAGATGTTGTAATGGCCAGTGTTGTAATGCTTCACTTTGGAAGACTTGCCTCCACAGCCCTGAGTTAAGCACTTAAGACCTTGTTCCCTCTTCCCCTGCCCTCACCCCCCAGGCCATAGGGGGCACGTCCCTATGGTGCCATTGTTACTGCACTTTCATTTAGTACTTCCTTTTGGACATACTAAATGATAACAGCCTGCACTGCGCTGTGCCCGCAGTGAATGGTTATTTTTAGCCACTACATCGCTGCAGCATCGTTGGTGCTATAGCAAGGGACCACGTTGTTACAGCAACATGGGTGCAGCATCGCTGTTTGTGCCTGCTGATGCTACATTGCCGTAGCGTGTTGCTATGGTGATGTAGCGTCTCATGTAGATGCACCCAGGGAGTTAGGTCCCTCAGAATAGTTCACACAAGCTGGCATGCTGAACATGGAGCTGCCTAGGGTAGCTAATAGGAAATGCTGAAGAGAGCAGCATGTCTTAAGACCTGCTCCTCTCTGATGCCTAGGTGTCTAACTCTGGACTGCAGGAAGGCACCTCCCTTCACAGGGGATTCTCTAGAGAAGCTAAACTATTTCTATCAAAAAAATAAAGAGATGCTCTAAGATGTGGGACCACTAGGTTTAACTCAATCTGCAGCCTTAGAGAGTTCAATCCATATCTCCCACCCT